TACACCTTTAGGGTACACCGCTACACCTGTTGACTACACCTTTAGGGTACACCGCTACTCTTGTTGACTACACCTTCAGGGTACACCGCTACTCTTGTTGACTACACCTTCAGGGTACACCGCTACTCTTGTTGACTCCACCTTTAGGGTACACCGCTACACCTGTTGACTACACCTTTAGGGTACACCGCTACACTTGTGCACCTCACCACCACCCACATCCTAACCTGAATCACAGAGAACATACAGGGTGTCCAAAAAATGAATGTACACTCAACTATTATTAATTATTTTAACAAAATGTGTACACTGCCCTTTTATTGATAAAAAACAATAAATAATTCAGAGAGGGACAAGACTGAAATATTTATAACCTATTGAAGCGTATACACATTCTTTTGAGAAATAAAATAATTGTGTACAGTATATATTTTTGAGGCGCCTCTAGACTATTAATAATTAATTACAAATCATGGAGACGGGACAGCAGCACTACTAGTACTAGGCGTCTGTTGGCCCAGGCTAAGCTACAGTTCACAACTTGACATCTTCATCCAGTGTGATGATAGGAGGCAGAGCGGGTTAATGGCACTGGTATGTATTATTAATGGTATCGATGTTTACTTTACATTTACCTTTTACTTTAAGCCTCTTCACCACTGATTGGCTCGTTAGTCAAGCGTGTTTTGTTAACCCATCACCCTTAGCTTGTGTCAAACCTCCCCAACACACCAGCCCAAGCTACACTTCCCCCAACACACACACTAGCAGAACAGCGTTGCAATAATATACTGTATAAGTACTGTGTATACGCTACATACTAATCTTCTATTTCCGTCTAAATTAAAGTTAGGTTTACCGTCGGCCAGACAGAACTTTCACTCGCTAGGAAACTATTAATGCCCGACCGAGGTATAACACGGTTGTGTTAATACAAAAACGGTGGTGGTGTAGCCTCACTGTCACGGCGTCTCACATATATAAATACTTTACCTGTAAGTCTACAACTGTTATATGAATCCTCCTGAGATCCGAAACCCAACAAAAAATTATAAATGCGTTAAACTGAGTAGACTAATTGTAATTAACTTCCGAAAACTGTGAGGGGTAACTTTTTCGGAGTGAGAGTTGTGAACTCTTGAAACAATCTGCCGTAGAGTGTTGTGACGGCACCGAGTGTGAGCTGCTTCAAGACCAGACTTGACCAACACTGGAGCAGGTTCAGATACATTCAGGAGTCAGTGCATGCCCAGTACTTGCCAACAGTGTGTAACAGAGCCAGTACATGCCCGGTACTTGCCAACAGAGTGTAACAGAGCCAGTACTTACCAACAGTGTGTAACAGAGACGTGACCGACCGCCCAAGCAGCTAATGAGCCGATCATTGCATTCAATGGCGAAGAGGATAAAAGTAAAAGTTGTATATTAATGTTCTTTGTCATCAACTTAAATCACAGACTAGGCTGTCGATGCCCCAACACACCAGTATTTCTCTCGATCAAGCATGAGAACTAAAATCACGTTTCTTGCATGCTTACTAAACAACATTGATGCCAACCACAGCAGCACCAACCTTACAACAATGCCATCACAGAATTACTTGTGTCACCGTATAATTGTAATTGCTGGTTGTACAAAAACGTGAGCTGCAGTAATCCCGTCCGTAAGGAACACAGCTATCGCCATCTAGTAAACAACAACAACACCAATCATGTCCTGCTGACCTTGGCGGTGTGTGAAGGACACTGAAGCAAGGTGATGTTACATGACGCCGCCACGCCCTCACATCTCACCTGTGCGGGATAATTAATCTCAGGGGGAGGGGAGTGTCAGGTGTTTGAACCTTACGAGAAAGATGTCTTTTATTGATTTGCTGGCCCTCCACAGCTTAGGTAAAGATACTACTCAGAGCCTCAGACCGACATTTCCATAAACTAAATTTACTTGACCTAGCGCAGGTGTATACGATTATACTAGTGGTCACACAAAATTCAGTTCACAGTTTTGCCTTCTAATCTTTTTTTTTCTCTCATTGACACGATGCAATGGGCCCTGCAGCCCCACCCCACCTGTTATACCAGTGCTAGAGAGTAACCCCTCTACCTCCCCGACAATCTTCTGGCATAATCTCACACACACACACACACATACACACACACACACACACACACACACACACACACACACACAGACGAGGGTACACTTGACCACCAGAGGGTCAAGACCTACCAGGCCCCCCTTGGCCATGTTCGGCCCCATTCCCCAAGTCCCTCTCCCCGACCCATCCTCACCACCAGGATATCAACATAATCAAAAGTGACAATTTCGTTTCGGAAAGAAGTGGGATCAGTGTTGAACAGTGATGAACAGTCTTCACACCTGGCTACGAGATAACACAACACCACCCAGCAGAGTGAGGTACTGTGAAACCACCCCACACCACACGGTGTCTCCATGACTACGTGAGGACCTTCATGTCAACCTACGGAGGAGATACTGCACCACGTGAACACCACACCATCCCGTGCCTCCATGACCACGTGAAGTCCCTCATGTCAACACCTACGGACGAGATACTACACCACGTGAACACCACACCATCCGGTGCCTCCATGACCACGTGAGGTCCCTCATGTCAACATCTACGGACGAGATACTACACCACGTGAACACCACACCATCCGGTGCCTCCATGACCACGTGAGGTCCTTTATATCAACACCTACGGACGAGTTACTGCACCACGAGGCCTATGTGACCTCACACAGTATGGCAAGAGACCAGCCCGGGCCATCAGCTGCAAACTATAATAATTTGTATGTTCAGTTCATGTTACTTCACCTTTTAGTAGTGAAAGCTTTTGTTAAACGGCCCACCTACCCCATGTCTTTGTATGTTATAAGTCATTTTTGTCTATTGTAGTATATTTTCAGCCTTCGAGCTGCAGAACTTTCTCAATAAACCGTTAATTATCAATATTATTATTAATTATTATACACACACACACACACACACACACACACACACACACACACACACACACACACAACATTTGCATGTCATAACGCAATTGATAGATAGTGTTAACAACGGTCAAGGCATCATGGTGTGTGGTGGTAAGAGTGGTCAAGGCATCATGGTGTGTGGTGGTAAGAGTGGTCAAGGCATCATGGTGTGTGGTGGTAAGAGTAGTCAAGGCATCATGGTGTGTGGTGGTAAGAGTAGTCAAGGCATCATGGTGTGTGGTGGTAAGAGTAGTCAAGGCATCATGGTGTGTGGTGGTAAGAGTAGTCAAGGCATCATGGTGTGTGTGGTGGTAAGAGTAGTCAAGGCATCATGGTGTGGTGGTAAGAGTAGATCAAGGCATCATGGTGTGTGGTGGTAAGTAGTCAAGGCATCATGGTGTGTGGTGGTAAGAGTAGTCAAGGCATCATGGTGTGTGGTGGTAAGAGTAGTCAAGGCATCATGGTGTGTGGTGGTAAGAGTGGTCAAGGCATCATGGTGTGTGTGTGGTAAGAGTAGTCAAGGTCAGTCAAGGCATCATGGTGTGCGGTGGTAAGAGTGGTCAAGGCATCATGGTGTGTGGTGGTAAGAGGTCAAGGCATCATGGTGTGGTGTAGAGTGGTCAAGGCATCATGGTGTGTGGTGGTGTGAGAAGTCAAGGCATCATGGTGTGTGGTGGTAAGAGTAGTCAAGGCATCAAGGCATCATGGTGTGGTGGTAAGAGTAGTCAAGGCATCAGGTGTGGTGGTGGTGTAGTCAAGGCATCATGGTGTGGTGGTAAGAGTGGTCAAGGCATCAGTGGTCAAGGCAGTGGTCATGGTGTGTGGTGGTAGAGTGGTCAAGGCATCATGGTGTGTGTGTGGTGGTAAGAGTAGTCAAGGCATCATGGTGTGTGGTGGTAAGAGTAGTCAAGGCATCATGGTGTGTGGTGGTAAGAGTAGTCAAGGCATCATGGTGTGTGGTGGTAACATAAGAACATAAGAAAATAAGGAGTCTGCAATAGGCAGGTTGGCCTGTGCATGGCAGCTCCTGTCGAGAGTTACTACCACTCTCTATCATCCATGAATCTATCTAGCCTCCTTTTAAAACTTTCCAGCATTCCAGACAACAAAGTTGCTAAGCTTGTTCCACTCGTCCACCACCTTATTTGTGAACCAGTTCCTTCCCATCTCCCTCCTAAACAGTGATAAGAGTCACCATGGTGTGTGGTGGTATTACATAACCAGCGTTGAACATTCCTCAAGTATTTCCTGACGGCTGCTATTATACAAGCCATCAGTCAGTCAGTGAATATTAGCTCACCAGTATATTTCACATGATTTAATTAAATACCCTTAACGCTTAGCTACCTGGGGGGTTAGGTGAGGGTGCGGTTAGATTAGTTTAGGTTAGCGGCAGATAAAGTTGTCGTAATCTTCAGTTATCACGTGTTTCATATAAATAATGAGATGTTTGTGTGTTTTATCTAACTGCTGATTAAATCTCATTATTTGTGTGTGCGTCTCTGAGATGGTGGTGTGTGTGTGAGGTATTTGATGCACTTAATTAAGCGTATGGCGACTGTGTCAATTTGCATCGTGTTTCTTGAGATATATTAATTAACTTATTTTTGTCGAAAAAATAAATATTTATACGCCATTATTTTTTCTTATTCGGAAACCCTAGATAATGGGAGTACTATTAAATTCTATAAATCACCTATATTACTATTATGTATATAGATATATTGAGAGAAAACATATGACATGGCATTGTTTCGTCTTGCCAGTTACCCACTTCCCTAAACTTTCGTACCATACAAATTACTAAAATAAAATACTTACACACAGGGAAATAAATAATTAGCATTATATCAAAAGCTTCATATTAATATATATAGATATTCTATATTTTATAAATAATTCGATAATAGTGAATAAGTTAGTATTTATTGATGTAGTATATATTGAGGTGGTAACTGTAGGGGTCGGGCCTGGCAACACTGGAGCTCAGCTGTTGATCAACAAGTTGTGGAGGAGACGTGAAGCTGCACCCATCCTCCCTCTCACTGGTATTGTATTTTATGGATTTAAATCACCCTGACGTTGTATTATATAACATAACAATATCTCACTTAACTTTATATGGAAAAGTTACATCGGTGTTATTAATCAGAAGTTAATTATAGTGGAGATTAGAGGATATGTGTAGTGGTGGGTCAGAGAGGCTGAGGGCAGATCAACGTCTTCAAGGACACAGTGATGGTTGTGTTCCTATTACCTAACATTTATGAAAGTTGTTCTTGTTTCCTTTGTGTTCTTTTCTAGTGAACACAATATAGGAGTGTTCTATTAAATACTGAAGATAAGATAACGTAGGGTTGTTATTATGAACAGTGAATATAAGATAACATTGGGCGTGTATTATTTACTGGTAAAAGTAAGATAACATATTGTACCTGTGTTAATGAATGGTGGTTGTAGTTGATTTGCTTCATGTTGTGAATAGTGAACACAAGATAACATAAGATATCTATCTCTCAGTCAGTCTCTATCTATAGTATCTGTCTATCCATCTCTAACTGTTCATCCACCAAACTATATATCTATTTGGTGCTGTAATCTAATCTTTTTGTTTCCAGAGATCAAGTTAAGAGTCATGGCGGGCGAGATGGTGAGTTTGGAACAGTGTTTGGAGAAGTACGTCCCAGAACGAGAGTTGAAAGAGATCACCAGAATCCTCTACGGCCGAGAACTCCCGTAAGTGCAGTGGAATATTGTACTGGTGGAATATTGTACTGGTGGAATATTGTACTGGTGGAATATTGTAGGGGTGGAATATTGTAGGGTGGAATATTGTACTGGTGGAATATTGTAGAGGTGGAATATTGTAGAGGTGGAATATTGTAGGGGTGGAATATTGTAGAGGTGGAATATTGTAGAGGTGGAATATTGTAGAGGTGGAATATTGTACTGGTGGTATATTGTGGAATATTGTGGTGGAATATTGTAGGGGTGGAATATTGTACTGGTGGAATATTGTAGAGGTGGAATATTGTAGAGGTGGAATATTGTACTGTGGAATATTGTACTGGTGGATTGTAGGGGTGGAATATTGTAGGGTGGAATATTGTAGAGGTGGAATATTGGGGTGGAATATTGTACTGGTGGAATGTTGTAGGTGGGAGGGGTGGAATTGTGGTGGTAGGTGGAATATTGTACTGGTGGAATATTGTAGGGGTGGAATATTGTACTGGTGGAATATTGTACTGGTGGAATGTGTAGGGGTGGAATATTGTAGGGGTGGAATATTGTACTGGTGGAATATTGTACTGGTGGAATATTGTAGGGGTGGAATATTGTACTGGTGGAATATTGTACTGGTGGAATATTATAGGGGTGGAATATTGTAGGGGTGGAATATTGTAGGGGTGGAATATTGTAGAGGTGGAACATTTTAAGGGTGGTATATTGGGGGTGGAATATTGTAGGGGTGGAATATTGTAGAGGTGGAATATTTTAAGGGTGGTATATTGTGGGGGTGGAATATTGTAGGGGTGGATTATTGTAGAGGTGGAATATTTTAAGGGTGGTATATTGTAGGGGTGGAATATTGTAGGGGTGGAATATTGTAGAGGTGGAATATTTTAAGGGTGGTATATTGTAGGGGTGGAATATTGTAGGGGTGGAATATTGTAGAGGTGGAATATTGTAGAGGTGGAATATTTTAAGGGTGGTATATTGTAGGGATGGAATATTGTGGGGGTGAATCATCCACTAATAACCACTTGAGTTTTTTTATTCATGATATATTGTATTTTTCACTAGTGTATGATTTTATATTAGGGTAAATTATGTTAGTGTTAGCATAGGACAGGATTAGGTTAGGATAAGTTAAAGTTAGCATAGGTTACTTTAGGATAGGTAGTCTTAGGGTAGGTTAGCATTAGGTTAGGATAGTTTAGATTTGGTTAGCATTAAGGTACAGTACTGTTAATCTTAGGATGAAATAAGCTTCACGTGATCCATTGATTAAAATGGTTTTATGCATTTTCCAGTGACATCAAGATCTCAGAGAAGGCTGAACAACTGTCTCAAAGACACAACTTCGAGGTTAAGGCGTATCAGATATGTGCCGCCAAGGAAGAACTGACTTCTCCCAGGTGAGTGTGCCATGAACTGGTCTTGATGCCTGAAGCACTACTTAGTGTGTTACGGCCTGAGTCTTAAACACCTTCTTCTGTTGAAGAGGGTCGTCGTGTTTCAACCCGAGTTTTAAACTAAATGAGTCACAGTACTTAACGGGTGGTGTGGTGGTAAAACTAACTAATTCCAATATTATAAATTAATTTTATTGGAATTAGTTAATTTTACGGCCACACCACCCGTTAAGTACTGTACTGCGGTGTCCCTCAGGACTCATTTAGTTTAAAACTCGGGTTGAAACAAGACGACCCTCTTCAACAGAAGAGGGTGTTTAAAACTCCGGGCATTAGTCTCATGATTATTAATGTACAGTCAGGGACAAAATTTCTCTTCCTGTGGTGAAAGTGAACCATGGGAATGAGTCTCTGAACTGACTCACCCTGACTGTTTCATCTCATTTAGGGCCAATGCTGTTTCATTTTGGGCAGAAGCGAACTTTTGACCCCGACTGTACAGTATAGTATGTAGAATTTTTTGGGGGGTAAATTTTTTATATCACCTGATGATTGGCTCCCTCTCACTTTATTCCCTCTGGAAGATTTAACCTAATGTACCCAACCCTACCTTAATCTAACCTACCCTCCCCTAACCTAACCTAATCTACCCTTCTATACCCTACCCTAAAATCTAGCCTAACCTAATGTTAACTTAATCCAACCTAACCTTAACTCCCCTGCCCCCCAGTTAGTCTTAGGGTGGTCATTTATCAGGTGAAATAAGCAGTGAGCTAATCTTTAGGTGATCCTCAACTTGTACTGCACTGATCTGAGAGGACGCTGTTGGCTGCCACAGGGACACACAAGACTCCTGAACATGTGATGAGCTCTGTCAGGTGTTGGTTTAATTACTTTTTTTTTTTCTTTCTCTTATCTTCTTCCACCTCTAATCACCTTTCTAGCCATTCGGGTGGTCGGTTTGTTCTTTATTATGACCTTCATTGTCCAATGTTACTACAGGAGGGAACTGGAGTACACCAACGGTAAGGAGGCGTATCATATGTCCCAACGGGATGAAGACACTGCACTAGTTGAGACTGTATGTGAGAAGGACCTAGGTGTGTATGTTGACAATGAGCTGAAGTTCTCGGGCCATTGCGAGAAGAAGCTAAATCAGGCAAATAAATTATTGGGTCTTATAAGAAGGTCGTTCAGATATCTAGATGGTCCGTCCCTCGTAACGATCTTCAGGAGTGAAGTGCTTCCCCATCTGGAGTACTGTCACCCCATCTGGTCCCCGAGATATGCTAGGGACTGTCAGTTGGTTGAAAATGTTCAAAGGAGGGCCACCAGACTGGTGCCTGCACTTCAGCACCTCAGCTACCCTGAGAGATTGGAGAACCTGAACTTGCCTAGCTTATACCATAGACGGGCAAGGGTGGACCTAGTTGAGGTGTATAAGCATCTCAGAGGGCACTACTCAGTTGAGTGTCCTTACTTGGAGCTGGCGGACGCTCGCCCCACAAGGGGTCACAGCTCAAGATTGAAGAAGCCGCAAGTCTAGAAAACTGTGAGGGCAAACTTTTTCGGAGTGAAGGTTGTAAACTCTTGGAACAATCTACCAGAGTGTGTTGTGACGGCACCGAGTGTGAGCTCTTTCAAGACAAGACTTGACCAACACTAGAGTGGGTTCAGGTACATTCAGGAGCCGGTGCATGCCCAGTATTTGCCAACAGTGCGTGGCAGAGACGTGACCGATCGCCCGGGCGGCTAGCGAGCTTATCTTTTGGTGAAGAAGATAAATGAAAAGGAAAAGTAATCAGACGTGACCGATCGCCCCAAGCGGCTAACAAGCCGATCAGTGGCGAAGAGGATAAAAGTAAAGTAAAAAAGAGAGCAAACCTATGATGTTTGGTAGGGTTACACTGGATAACTTCCTTCTCACATCTGACCCGGGGATTGAATCCATGTCTGCAATGGTGAGAGGCAAGTGCATTATCGCTGTACCACTTACTTCGTCCTATCAGTCATATTATGTTCTGTCATACTTGATTCATTTGTTAATTTCTTCTCCAGAATTGTACGTGTTGGTGTGATTCAGAACTCCATCGCTGCGGAGACGACGGCTCCAGTAAGTGAGCAGCGCGCTGCACTGCATGAGAAGATAACCCACATGACGGAGGCCGCAGCTCTGTGTGGGGTCAACATTTTGTGCTACCAGGAGGCGTGGAGTGAGTACTGTACCGCAGTTTGGCTTTTAATGATGTACAGTACAACAGTTGTAATCAGTCATAACATTGATTTTCAAACCACTGAATGAAATGTACAGTATTAACTATAAAACAAGTCTTGGTACCTGTAGTAATCAAAATTATATTATGTAGCTCTGGCACTTTGGCTATACAGTAGTATTATATGATAAAAACATAATGGGAGTTTATCTTTTTGCTTCACAGTACAGTAGTACTGTATCTATAACCATCTATACCAGGGGTGTCAAACTCATGGCCCGTGGGCCAAATGTGGTCCTTGGGATGGTCAGGTGTAGCCCGCGGGATAACGGTAAAATTTATCAGCCCGTGAAATTCTGATAGAAATAGGTATGAAGTACCGAACCCGTATTACTGATAACCACTTGGATGCCATCCTCCGACTTGGAATATCACCTTTGCAGCCAAATATAGAAAAACTTGTGGAAGAAAAATGCTTTTGCAGTGCAGTGGAAAATGAGGTCAAAGTTGTGAGTTGCATGATAGTTCTTGTTCTGCATGTACTGTACATAACTGTCATAACAAGATTGAGCTCTTAAGTTTCAAAACACAAATGGAATTGTATAATAAATTGTAGCCCCAAAATAATGCATATTCAGTGGTCCCTCGGTTAACGAACACAATTCGTTCCAGAAGGTCGTTTGTTAACCGAAACCATTGTTTCAATGGGATTTTGGGTAATTGGTTCCAGCTCACCGAAAATTACGTACAAAATAAAAATAAATGCAGTCAATTACACTTACTTTGAGGTGTGTATATAGAAGGCACCTGGTTGATGATGATGGGAATTAGAAGTGGGGGTGGAGGAGAAGGGAGAAGAGAAGGAAGTGTGGGTGGAAGAGAAATCACCCCATGCTTCATGCCATCATTTCACCCATAAAATTTTAAGTTCACTCAGTGTAATTCAAGATTATTTTCTTTAAATCAACACTGCACTGCACTATATATTGTCAATATGTAAAATAAATTTCAGAATGACCAATAATTGTACTGTAAAAATGTAAAAATAGTTTATGTTCAAGAGAGCCACAAGCAAGATGTTACCTCCACTGACCAGAGATACAAACTAACACCTTGGTTGGTGAGTCAAGTGGCTGATTGGCACACCAAAAACTAGTTTCCTGTACTCCAATTATGTTAAATAAGTGTTAAAATGACTAAAAATTTTAATATAAAACTTGGAAAATTATTGAATAGTACAACCTTCTTTTTATTTACTCAAATGGGAACGAATTTAAGCCCTAGAACCGATTACTGTATTGGCGCACTAATATTCCAGCTGGTGAGCAAACGAAAACATGTTGACATGATTTCGTAAGAACTTCGTTAACCGAATTTTTGTTCGTTAACCGAAATGAAGATTCTTATGGAAGAAAATTCGTTAACCGAAATTTCGTTAACCGAGGGATCACTGTATATGGTTTTTACTATCCTGTTATTAGCGTTAATCATGTTTATTAAGTAAAATTAATTTTACATACTTAAGACCAGACAAACCCAAATGAGGTATTCCTGGTAAGCCAGGTAAGGCAATGTGTAAAGCTGTAAACCTCAATCCTGCAAATATGTAATATAGCACTTGTGTTGGCCCTGAAGAGGGTAACTAAAATAAGAATTGGTCCTCGAAAGGTATTGAGTTTGACACCACTGCGAGTCTATACAGTCTTTCTTTTATTTTCATTACTGTATTGTTTAATGTATCTATATAAATGTGTGTGTGGTTTTAAATTTTAGAGTTAAGAATTAAAGGATTCTGTGTTTAGATACATTCCTCTGTGTTGGAGATGACAGTAAGTGTTGAAGACAAGTTGCCTTAGTAGCTTTCAGTTCCTTCTCCTCTGCCAGCCATGCCATTTGCCTTCTGTACCCGGGAGAAGCAGCCGTGGTGTGAATTTGCTGAAAGTGCCGAGTCTGGACCAACAACTCAACTGTGTCAGGAGGTATGGTCTCACTTAACTATTACTGGTCCCTTCCATGAATCTTGATAATCGTGGCAAACAGTACAGTATTAATCCCTTCATTACTATTAGAGTTTTGGGTACTTAAATCCTTCTCATTGGAGTGTATACTGCTGAGATGACAATGTATTATGTTTCCCAAATTGACGATTACCGGTATTGATCTAACCTAACCTAACCTAATCTAACTTGACCTAACCTAACCTATCTAATCCATCTATATGGGATGGCAAAAATCAAATGATCATTCAGGTGAAATAAGTCGATATGGGATTACGCCTCTCACTGTTACTCTCCGTTCCCAGCTGGCACGGAAACACAACATGGTAATTGTGTCGCCAATACTGGAGAGAGACAGCATTCACGGAGACACACTGTGGAACACTGCCGTGGTCGTGAGCAACACTGGCTATTACCTGGGCAAGAGTCGCAAGAACCACATCCCCAGGGTGGGCGACTTTAACGAGTCCACGTACTATATGGAGGGAGACACAGGCCATGTTGTCTTCCAGGTCAGTTTAGCAATTAACTTTATGGATGAAGCAACAAATAAATGTTATTGAGAAGTGGAGAAAAAATAGCTTAAACTGTACAGTATAATTAAGGTGAAGAAGTATATTAGATAATATTTCTTTTCTTTTTCTATTGGTATGAAATAAAGAGAGTGCGAGGATAAAATATTCAGATGTCAGTACAGTAGATGTGTGTGTCTGTGTCTGTTGGGAAGATGTGATAACACTTGAGCAGTCAGTGACATTTTATTTTTCTTCTTAAGTGACCAGATCATTGACAATTCAGTATTTTGGTTGTGTTGAGATAAAGTGATCTTTTTTTTTAGTACAGTTAACATTTATGGGAACTTTTCATTGCCTTAATCTCCACGTAGACTCAGTTTGGCCGCATCGCCGTCAACATCTGTTATGGGCGGCATCATCCCCAGAACTGGATGATGTATGGCATAAATGGAGCTGAAATTGTCTTCAATCCCTCTGCTACTGTTGGAGGCCTCAGGTGATATATTCATCTTCTTTGCTGATGTAAATTATTGGAGAGGGAGTGGTGATAGTGTTAGTCTAGTCAGCTAACACTTGTGGATATTGCCGACTTAATTATTTCCCATTTTTTCCATCGTGACCATAACACTTAAAGGGAAGTTTTGGAGGAGTTGTTCCCATCGAGGGTGAAGGGTAGAGTGTGTTGTATTCTCTTGGTATAATGGATAGAGTGAGAGATTTATCAGGACCATTTGATGTACAGTACAGTACACACAGTTCTGTAATGGATGCTCACTTCACCTTTTTAGTCACTATCGCTTTTCATTTACCTGTGTTTTTCTGTCATTGTAAAGGAATGAAAGATTCAGCTGAATTACTTATTCATAATTATCACAGTTCTCATAACTTATCAACAGTGAGCCCATGTGGGGTATCGAGGCCAGGAACGCAGCCATTGCGAACAGTTACTTCACGTGTGCCATTAACCGTGTTGGCACCGAGACCTTCCCCAATGAGTTCACCTCAGCTGATGGTAAACCGGCTCATAAGGACTTTGGTCATTTCTACGGGTCGTCATATGTGGCGGCTCCTGATGGTTCTCGAACTCCAGTGAGTAGCAGAAATCTACTGTGTTAATTTATATGTTTTGTGGGGGTAACACCTGTTCAGTAAGATGTCTATTGTTTTGTGATTGTAAAAGTATGATGCATCTGATGATCTGAGGTATTGCTCTAGATTATCTTTAGTTTTTATTATTTAAGAATTAAAAATGTTATGTTGATATTATTTTTTTAAAATTGTCTTTTGTTGAGGTAACCCAAAGATTAAAATCTTTTATTTGGATTATAAACATTTATAATTCTGGTTTATCATAATTATCCTTACTGATACCCTTTGTAGAGTCTGTCCAGGACCCATGATGGACTTCTGGTCTGTGATTTGGACTTGAATCTCTGCCGACAAGTCAAAGACCGCTGGGGCTTTAGGGTGAGTGAAGAGACAATCTTGTGATGTATTGAAATTTTGGCATTGGACTTGAGATCTTAGATGACATAACCCCTCTAGTCTGTTAGATGGAGGCTTCACTGTGTACTTCCTATGAACTTTATTGTTCAGTGTGGAAAAATAAAGCAAGCATTAATTACTTTTTTTATGGATTTCTGTAGATGACACAGCGGCTGGACCTGTACGCTGCCTCCTTGTCCGCTGCGATACAACCAGAGTATCAGCCTCCAGTGGTGAAGGACATGTGCTGAATCTTTATTTTTTTTTTAAATATGAACGAGGCAGAAAAAATTGGTACAGTACTTTTGAATAGATTGTTGGTTCTTTATATTTTCAAGTGGTGATGACTTTTTTTTTATAAAGTGATGATTTAAGTTTTTTATAAAGTGGTGATGACATAAACGTTTTTTTTTATAAAGTGGTGATGACTAAAGATTTTTCAAAGGATGGTGACTTCCTTTTTTAATGAATCATTTGAGGATTGGAAATATTTCTGTTCACTAGATAACCAAATTCAGTCAACCTCTCTGTTTGTGTTGCTCCTATATAGAATACAGTGTCACTGATTCACTACAGTGTTTTTTTAATAGATAATTGATAATTATAAAGAAGACAGTCCATACAAACTACTTTAGGCAGCTTCCACTCTTCCATACACTGGCATCAGTGCTCAAGTATGTGATTTACATTTTTTTATGAGTTTTGATCTGTTTAAACCTTTACAATATATTACAAATGTTATAGCTAAAAAAAAAACAGACTGAGAGATGATTTTGCATCTGTATTAAAGAAACTGACAAGAGTTATTAATATAGATGTGTTAAAGGAGTTAGATCTTTTTCATCTTTTATCCTCTTCATCACTGATCGGCTCGTTAGCCGCTTGGGCGATAGGTCACGTCTATGTTACGCACTGTTGGCAAGTACTGGGCATGCACCTGCTCCTGAATGTATCTGAACCCGCTTCAGTGTTGGTCAAGTCTTGTCTTGAAAGAGCTCACACTCGGTGCCGTCACAACACACTCTGGTAGATTGTTCCAAGAGTTTACAACCCTCACTCCGAAAAGTTTGCACCTCACAGTTTTCTGGACCTGCGGCTTCTTCAATCTTGAGCTGTGACCCCTTGTGGGGCGAGCGTCCTCCAGCTCCATGTAAGGACACTTGACTGAGTAGTGCCCCTTGAGGTGCTTATACACCTGAATTAGGTTGCCCCTTGCCCGTCTGTAGTATAAGCTAGGCAAGTTCAGGCGCTCCAATCTCTCAGGGTAGTTGAGGTGCTGAAGTGCAGGCACCAGTCTAGTGGCCCTCCTTTGAACATTTTCAACCAACTGACAGTATCTAGCATATCTCGGGGACCAGACGGGGTGACAGTACTCCAGGTGGGGAAGCACTTCACTCTTGAAGATCGTTACGAGGGACGGACCGTCTAGATATATGAACGACCTTCTTATACGACCCAGTAATTTATTTGCCTGATTTACATTCTTCTCGCAATGGCCTGAGAACTTCAGCTCATTGTCAACATACACACCAAGGTCCTTCTCACATTCAGTCTCAAATAATGCAGTTTCTTCATCCCGTTGGGACATATGATACGCCTCCTTACCGTTGGTACGCCCCAAGTGCATCCTCTTACACTTCGTGACATTGAATCTCAGCAGCCATTTTTTCGACCATTCCTGGAGCCCACAGAGGTCCTTCTGCAGCTCTTCACAGTTCGCTTGGTTCTTAATTTCCCGAAATAACTTGGCGTCATCGGCAAACATTTGTATGGAGGAGTTTATAACGTCAGGCATGTCGTTTATGAAACAAACAAACAACAGCGGGCCCAATACACTGCCCTGTGGTACCCCGCTTGTGACAGGTACTGATGACGATTTCGTGCCATTAATCACCACACACTGCTTGCATTCATGTAGAAAGTCTTCTATCCACGCTAGGACATTTCTCCGAATTCTGTACCCTTCCAGTTTGATTTTTAGCCTTTCCTGGGGTATACTGTCGAAAGCCTTGGCAAAATCTAGGTAAATATTGTTGATATTACCCCTCTGTTCCAGAATATGGGTCCAAATATCCAATATATTGAGCAATTGTGTTAAGCAGGAGCGCCCCGGCATAAAACCGTGTTGGCAATCCTTTACACGGTTGTTTCGTATTAGATGTTCCATTGCGGCATCTGTGATAATACTCTCAAGTACTTTACATATTATGCTGGTCAGGCTCACTGGTCTACAGTTGTTCGTGGAGTGACGTTCTCCTTCTTGAAGATAGGACTCACATAAGCCACTTTCCATTCACTGGGGATCATTTGTTCATCCAGGCATTTACAAAACAGGATCTTCAGGGGCTCTGCAAGCTCGTTGCACAAATCTCTTAGCACTCTAGGATGCACCATGTCAGGGCCGGGACTCTTATGGACCTGGACAGTTTATTTCAAATACTCTCTTCTGTGAACACAATGTGGGTCAGTGCTGTGTCGAACCGTCTGTCCTCAAACGCAGGAAGGTTAATTGCATCCTCTCTTGTGAACACCGAGGAAAAGAAGCTGTTCAATGCCTCAGCTTTATCCTGGTAAGAGTCTGCGTAACTACCACCTTCAAGCTTTAGGTCTGATACTCCTACTGTGTTTTCAATTTCGACTTTGCATAGCGGTAAAACGCCTTTGGGTTTGACTTGACCTCGCTTGCAACCAGCCTCTGGAACTCCTTTTCAGCCCTTCTACACTCTACCTTTGCTTGGTTTCTGGCTCTTGCATACATCCTCCTCTCCTGCTCATCGTTTGACTCAACCCAAGTCTTGAATTTCTGGGTTTTATTCTTAAGTTTGTCGACCGCCACATGGTTCATGTGTAGGGATCCCCTCGTATTCCTAGAGGCACTGGGTTTGGTCTTGGGTATATATTTATCGATCAAATGGGTCACTTTACTAGTTATGATATTCAGCGTAGTGTCTGCGTTCTTGTGCCTTAATGAGTCAGGCCAGTGGATACCCCTCATCTCTTCCCTCATCCCGTTGTAATTTCCTTTGTAATATTTGCACCTTGGCCTGGCCTTATCTTGAACGAGGTAACAGTTAAATCTGAATGACAACACTACCTGTATATGGTGACTGGTGCCATCTGGGGCAAGGTGTTCCAGTTTGGCCACCATACCCTCCTCGTTTGTTATGATGAGGTTTAGTGGCTTGGGTATTTGCTCCCCTCTGTAATGTGTCGGGTCTCTAACATGTTGGAACAGAAAATTATCTCTCAGAGTTTCTACAAAAAGAGTAGCAGGGTTATTCAAGTCATTTGGGGTGGACTCGTTTCTCCAGTCGATGTCGCCATAGTTAAAGTCCCCCATGATAAGGAGGTGGCTAGGGTTGAGCTTTGCCATGTTGTCTATTAAGGCTCTTAAGTTCCTTTGATTTAGTGGGCCACAGTTTGGGGATCTGTAGATACACCCGACGATAAGTAAGTCCCCTCCCTTTAATTTAATTTTACACAACTTGGACTCTTCAAAAACATCCTCTCCCTGTACCCTCGCCTGGCTGGCTCTAAGGTCTTGCCTAACATAGATAACCACACCCCTCTTGCAAGTTTCTTGAGAAAGGTTTGTAAATGAGGCATATCCAGCAATAGTGAACTCACATTCCTTTGGGTCAATTCTCCTGTTCTTGTACAACAGTTCTACAACACCTACAATATCTGGTTGATGTACCTTCAGTAGTGTTTCAAACTCCACTTTCTTATCAAGGAACGTGTCAGTATTAGTGTACATGACATTCAAGCTAGAATTTGTTCTTGGTAACTTCTCTGCTCTTAGTAGTAATCCCCACCCATTCTTAGAAGCTGCAGCATTTGCTAATTACACTGTATTTGCCTTTTAGGATAGCCAGGCTTGTTGATTTTATTTTATTTTTTTTATTTTAACTTTTATTTCCTTATACCCTACTTTCTTTTCCCGTTCTCATCAACGACTATATCTCTCTGTGCTATCACTGTGTACACTGTATCTTCCTATGAATGGTATATTGTAGGCACAGTTTCAGTCCATGAGAAAGCACACAACCAAAGTAAAATTTAAAGTCTCTGTGGCACCTATAACACGACTTGGTTTCTGCTGGCAGTGGTGTCTTACCAGCTTGCTTGCCAATTTGTATTTACTTTTGGTTATTTACAACCTCTTCCGCAGTCACTGATGACACTATGAACTGATTTAACTAAAGGCACAGTACTACACTCCCTGGTTGGCCTTTATCACAGCCGTGACCACAACTCCATAACAAAATAAAATAAAAGCTTTGTCATATGGCAATGATTTTGTGGTTGTAGGCCTCTTGACCTGAGCTGTATCTCCAACTCGGTGGAGATTGAGTTTTCAAAACTACAATCGTGTCTAGCATTAAAAATCCTACATCGATTTACATTTTCACATCACTAAGACGATCTTGATGCTCTTATGTAATTACTGTCCAATTTCTGCCGCTCAACAACGAAGGCCCGAATGCCGAACACGCTTTGTTACAGAGACGCAACGCGACCTGACCAGCGCGCCTAACGCCCGTCTCCCTGTGATGAAGGATGAGATGTGGGTGTTAGCCAGGTACTCGCTTCACTGGCTTGGATGGTCAGAATAATTTTTTGCTAACTCTGATCAAATTACAGAATGGTTAAATACGTTTCTTTATTCTTAATTATGAGTTGTGTCAAACTATTTCAAAATGCATCTGTTTGTTAGAAAGTGAGAAATTTAACTCTAAATACAGTAAGTTGATGGTAAGAATAGGGTCAATTTATGTTGAAAAGTTATTGTAATATTCCTAATGCATACAATAATTTCAATAAGATTTAACTATTAGAGTAAAATATCCTTAACCCCCCAACATGGAGTGGGGTGCGGTAAAGCTCCGTGCCTTTGTTTGTTATTTGTATTAAATTGTCTTAAATTCTGTTTGGTGTGCAGTTTTTAGTTTAGTTTAACAAATTTATTGACAAAGCTTGGAGTACAGTTTGCCTATTCTGTACAGTAGTGTTGCAAAGAGAACACATATTGTAGTGACCATTACTGGCCTACCTTGGTGACTTATTTTACTTTTAAGTATACCAGTCTGTATGTCACTGTTGTTATGTGAAATGGTCAAACACTTTCACCAGGAATTAAAAATGAATTAGTGTCATGTAAATCCAGCTTGATAGTTGGATGAAGTTAATAATTAGTGTCATGTAAATCCAGCTGGATAGTTGGATGAAGTTAATAATTAGTGTCATGTAAATCCAGCTAGATAGTTGGATGAAGTTAATAATT